CTTTAGAAAGAGAAAGAAACAACAAAAAAATATGGAAAAATGAAACATTTTCCACCCTGGAAAACTACATACGTTTCCAGGCTTTTCAAGACTGTAGGAACCCCGGATCTATCTTTACCTGCACAGTCTCTGAAAATTACAGCTTTCATCACAGCAGCATGCTTTGCAACCACATATCAACTTCCCAGACAATAGCTCCGTGGGGTTAATTACAGAGAGCACAATGCTCTAGTTAAAGCTTCAGTGAGCAGAGGCTTGGTAACAACTAGCTGGAACCATCTAACCATCTAATAACCTCCCTTTGCAAGAGGGACAGAAGTTGATTTATCTTTGAAATGAAAGTGAAGAAACCCAAAGCAAAGTGTGGGATTTATGTGTTTTGAATGCATCATTGGTGAGAGAACAATGCATTGTATTTTTGTTTAAAAGCATTTCATATCAAAAGCCAGCATCACTGGATTAATCTTTCTGTGCTTGCACACATGCCATTTGTACAAAAGTGAATGATTCCCAAAGCCTTGGCCAACAATATGTTCAAGGTCTGAGCTTTACCAAGCAAGTGATTGACCAATCACTTGGTCAATAGCGCGGTCATTGGTTTAGAGTCAGGGGGATGGATGAAGTAAGCAGTACAGGACATGCTGCAAAAAAAATATTGAATAAAATAATTACTCCAGCTACCACATGGGTTTAGATATAAAGTACATTTCTGAAATTTGTTTTATTTTGAATAATGTACGGTAATCATGGGTTTCGTCATTTAAATTATTAATATGCGTTTCTTAACTATAAAGTAATGCATTTCCTGTGTTATTACACAAATTAATATAAGAAATTACCAACTTTTCACCCAGAATATTTCCAAATTTTGCAGGTGATATTTTTTCCCCCAACATTACTTGTACCAGGTCATTTAAAGCCTTGCACAAAGTACACGTACAGTATTCATATCATTATATACCGACTTGTGAAAACCATGTCATCAGATATGCTACAATGCTCTATAACATCTTCCTGGGTTGTAACAGTCCAGGTTCTGTGTGGACAACTTTCCCACAACCCCAGCAGAGCTGAAACCTCATTAGAGACGGGCTGAGAAGTCAGTATTGTGTTTTATGGCTTTAATTGAACATAGGTGTAGCTTTACAGTGGAGCATTTCTCCTCTTCCCTCCTCCCCCGTCTTTACAGCCTCCGTTTATCTCCATCCGTCTCTGGGGTGCGAGAGCCTGGTACCACCAGCCTCCCTTTCTCTCTCTCTCTCTTAAAGCTGCGCCTCAAAGAGTCGATTCTCCACTCCAATGCATCTGCAAGCGCAGGCTGCAGCCTCCTTTCACACATGGATAAATGTGGACACACCGACTGTAGATCCATAACCAGCTACTACGAATGCAAATTGAAACACTTCTCCTCTACTCTGCATATATCAGATGTTCACATGTACAACTACATGCTACAACTCTATATATGAACCTCAAAACATTCGAGAGTTTTATTTGGTAGGATCATTCTAATCAGAAACGACCCAGTAAACGAACCCTTCCACAAAACCACATCGGATCTCGCCCTGGAAGTGTTGCCCTAGCCCTGACAGCGTCGACTGCAGCAGAGATAACAAGACAACATCACCAAGTGCACGAGTCTGTGAGCTGTTAGCATTTCTGACATAACTGAAAGCCTGGGCCAAATTATAGTTTTGGTGCAATGCATGCGACGAGCCAAACCAGTGCTTTTCTCTGTGCAGCTTCCCTCGGTGCTCCTAATTATCTTGTGCTGCTCAGATGGATCAGAATCCGGTAGTGTCCCGTGGAACAGCTGCAGGTAGGATAACCCAGAAGAAAAAGGAAGTGCTTTTGTGGAGAAATAAACTTAATACTATTGCATTATATAAATTTAATACGGGGGATCCTCCTCGGATTGGTTAATATGCACATTCCTGGAGCAGAGTTCACATGTATGACCAGGAAACACGGCTAAATGCTTCAACAACTTTAGTAAACAGTGACGGATCAGTCTCGTTCTCCTCACTTAAGTGCTGCAGACAGTGCAACTTCCCACAGAGTTCACACACACACGCACACACAGCGTCTCAGCACTCCACCAGACTAATGTTACATAAACAACACTTCTACAATCACAGCTGATCGGCATTTCCTCACAATTTCAAAGGAAAAAACAAAAAACTAAACAGTGAAGCATCGTCCATGCTTCACTGTTTAAGCAGCATTCCCTTCAACATAAATGGTGAGTAAAGAAAATATCTTTTAGCTCAATAGGTCAGCACTTGATAGCATACAGCTGAACACAGGTCTTTGGCTGCATCGCAGAGCTGATGTGGAGATAAGAGGTAGCCTGCTAAAGGGATGCAAACTGACAGCAAAGGAAGGAAATCAGCTTCCGCACTCAGTCTGGGGTTTTTGTTTATGATCCCGAGCCTCAGACATTTAACTTTCCTGGATGGTTTGATCCTAAAACATAATTTTATATTCTCACTAACATTTCTTTCATTAACTTTGAGGATTCTAGTACTTAATAAAATGACAAGTGTGCGACTGGGAGACTCTGATAGCTCAAGGATTCAAGTAAAAATAACTTGCATTGCTTTACAGAAGTACTAATACCCTTTCAGTCCCATTGTAACCAAAACCTTCAATGGGTTTTACGTAATAGATCAACACATTGCACAACTGTTCCCGCGTTTCCATCAATATTTTAAATTTTGAAGTATCGCATTAGAAACAGTTGATATAAACCAGTTGTGTAAAGCTGGAAGACACTTAGTCAACAAGCCTTGCAGACTTAATAAAATGTTGACGCCGTCATTCCACTTCACAATAATACCCTACACTGTGAAGGTCTATCACATTAAAATGACAAAATGTATAAAAAAGTGGCCTGAGTACTTTTGTACCGAAAGTTTCAGCTGAGGAGCAACGACAATCCAAAAAAATAAATAAATAAAAAAGGTAAACACAGAAACAGAAGCTCACCAGCGATAAAGGATACATTTTAATGGCTCCTGACTTTGTGCCAATGGCCATCAGCTGCAGCTTGGGGTCAAAGGCCAGAGCACTGGGCTGATGGGGGAACCCATGCTCCACCGTCTGGGAGGAGGAAGAAAGAGGAGAGGGGAAAAAAAATGACACAAGATGACACAGCAAAGACACAATAATACACACCGTATAAACCCGCCTAAGACACGTCCACTTCTTTTTCCAACTTGGACTTTTTCATCAGCGAGGCGTCTAAAAGGGAGGACCGTTTTAATAAAGTCAGAGGAAACTTTTTAAAAAAGGCCACTGAACGGCAGGCCCCGACACTTTATAGCCATGTTCTGCAGACCTTGTTAACTGGGATTAGCATCAATTCACAGGCTTATTTTCCCCCTGTGCCCGTGGCACGGCATGGCAGACAGCTGGGAATGCACTTAGAGCTGCAGAGAAGAAACAAGCAGATTCTGGAAAAAACGTAAAAGACCGTCCCAGGACTTCCCTCTTGGAAGTGATGTGACGTAAAAGCGTCGATGCTTTCTGCCTTTAGCCGATTGCACACAGATACAGTCGCATCAAAGTTCGCCTCCCGTGGACGGACCACCTCTGTGACGGTCGCAGCAGCTGGTACCGACCAGTAAAACAAGCGTGCTGTTCCAACAAAAACAGTCTGTGGACTTTAAACACGATACGCCATTCAGACGAGCCGACTATACGGCACTGAGGTGCCACACACACACACACACACACACACACACACACACACACACACACACTATCAAAAACATTTACTTAGAGGGTGTCTCTGCAGACATCTTGTTTAGATGAACAGACCGGCATCCACAGATATTCAATAGAGTCCAACAAGACCAAGGAAGGTAATAAAGTTTGAAAAACAACAAGAATATTCAGAAATGTGAAGAGAAACTCAAGAAGAACCGCTAAAGGCTAAAATCTAAAACATCTGTTTGCCTCAATACAATAAAACATAAAAGACATTTTAGACCCCATCACTATTAGTTGGTCTTTCTTTGAAAAATTAGCAACATCAGCTTTTCTGAAGCTTAGAAAGATTATCTGGATAATGTGGGAAAAATCCTGTCTTAACTTTTCTCTTCAGCTGCTGTTCAGACATGCTTGCTAAAAGCTGGATGTGCATCAAAATGTCCTTACTTTGCTCTCATTGCCCTCCACTCTGCAGGCATGGGCATCTCTGCCACTAAATAGATTAGACATGCACATTAAGGGCAGTTAAAGTCCTCCCAACTAGTCAACTAACAATCAATATGCAAAGCAGGAATGCATGACACTCTAGATACCGTCTTCATCCAAATATTGCGTCCACGCAGTCCTTTCAGGTATCGAATGCATCACTATTGCAATAGCAGTTCCAGTTCAATATATTGAAGGAAAAAGTAATAAATGTGGACATAAGTTTACATGAAAACGTCACCTTTATGATGCTCATGTGAAGCGTCTTGTGAAAGTCTTCCTCCACCTGGAACTTTTGCAATATTTTGCATTACAACCACAAATTTCTAAACAGGGAGTCAATATGAAAGAGAACAAAAGTTGGAACAAATGGTTCTCAAAAATCTTATGATTAAAAAAAATAAAGTTTGCAGTTGTCAACTCAATCTGGAAATGGGTGAAAATATGTGAACCATTTGCAAGGAAGGCACTATGACTTTTATGATTTTTGCATGTAAACAACGGTTGCTAGGCGATCGCCGGTGTTGCAATGAACTAATCGAGATCTGAATGTTTCACCGAACCCAGGCTTTAGAAAGGTGATGACTCCTCTGGACAGAAATACAGGATGTACAGTATTTCACTGGGTTAATCCCACACAGAGATAAACAGGGAGGTTAAGACAAGCAAAGAAACTTTGGATTGACATTACGACGTGAATTTGATTCTACTTGCAAAGTTTGTAGTGCTCATATTTTCATGTTTAAAAGGACAAATTTGAAAGCAGAATAGAAACACAAAGGTAACTTCATACACTGAGGCAGGCGGCCAAAGAGGAGGAGGTCGGGGAGTGTAATGAAAAACAAATGGAGTACATAAGAGCTTTCCAACTGTGACTAATTGTTTTGATGCTGAAAATGAGAAAGAATGTGCCAAAATCAAATTATGTTGCATTTCCTCGAGTTTTCTTTCTGATCCAAATTGCATGGAGTTTTTTTTAAATGACAATAGTGATCTACACATTTATCTGGCTCCATTCAGGAGAGCCGGTATTGATTAAATAAGTCTTTCGACATGAAATGTTTGGATTAGGGACGCTCTCTGGAGTACTTTCAGTCTCACCTAATGTGAGTTCAAGGCCACAACACTGAAAGTTTGGCTCATTTCTGCACAATATATGAGTACAGTTCAGAGATGATTCTGTTGGCCAAGCTGCAGAACCTCCAAAAATTAATCAATATATCATCTCACTGAACCCAAATTAAACAAATATCTGTTGCAAAATCCTTTTTATGGACACCACAAGTTTCACAGCAGTGCTCAAGCTATTTATCATCTCCTGCAAAGTATTTTTTTAATAGCTTTTTTCTGATGATCACTACACAATACCATTTCAACTGGTCATTATCCTCAATAATAGATAGATTTTTTTAAAACTTTTGCCAGTTGTATATTTTATTTTACCTTGTATTTTCATGCTTACATGTCAATGCAAAAAAATAAAAATAAAACAAATTACTGAATAAAATAAAGTAAAAACTTTCAGCAATATGTGAAAACGATCCATAGATTTCAGAGTTTAAGGGAAATTTGGCAACAACCAATAGTCTCCAATGGGAAACTGGATTTACCCAATATCATCAAATAAGAAGTAATATGTTATTTCAGGTGAATTTTTTTTTTCCTTTGAGTCCCGGTGTTATCATTTTAAAGTAGCATAGATCTGCCGTTTTCCAAATTTGAGGCAAAGAACATTACACAATCATTTATTTGACATGTTATGAATTCGCACAGGAATAAATCAGGACTGGTTAAAGTTCTTGATATGATCACCATCAACACCACAGTTTGCTTCAGCTTCACCATCTAAAAGAGAATCCCTCGTGGCTGGAGGACATCTGAGTGAAACCGTCTCAAACGCGAAAGACTTTCAACTCAAATCCTTCATGATCCATGTCAAAATCCATCAAACTTCACTCATACGATGCGATGTTAAGAGCAGCAGATCAGCTCAGTTCTCTTATGAAGTCATCGATCCAAACACACAAAGCAGAAACAGCTTTTGTCCTCCTTCAGCTGGCTTTTTCAAACTAGAGTATTCTTTGCAATCCTGCAGCAAAACCACACTTCATTACACAAACGTGTTTTAATGTTGCTTTATCTTTGTTAGAAAAAATAATTCAAAACGAGGCAGTTTAAGAAAATGAAGCTGAACTTCAAATTCATAGTTTCACCCTGAGACTGACAGAAGCATGGGACTGTATGAGTTAACGAGAATAGTTTAAATATCACTTTTGTGTGTGTGTGTGTGTGTGTAGCTGTACCCATCTATGTCAAATCATTAACATATGGTTCCTGGATCAAACTGTTGAAACTGCTCAATCTCCTTTATCTATAATCGCGGATAATCCCCACCAGTGACCAAAAAAGGCATGTAATTAACACCACAAGAGTTTTTTTTTATGTTCCAAACTGTTTTTGTTGTAAACTTTGATAGGTCGTCACATGAAACCACCCCACAAACAGTCATCAACAAAGCCCGTCCGAGTCCAGTCTGCACTCAGCCCCATCAATCAGAAGCGGTAATGTCTCTCTGTATGGGAATCACTACACGTTAACAGCAACACAGAGACGAGAAGCTAGTTTAAATGCTGCAGAGTGATCTCCATCTGAAATGCACCCCGTTTCTAGTAAAACAGACCTTTTTTTGAGGCAGATCTGCAGAAGATGAGGAACGCCTGTCTCCCTCCCCTCCTTGTCCCGTTACTTTACCTTGTTAAAAGCGAAGAGCTCCTGTTTTATCTTTTCTCTTTGCGGGTCGGTGCCCTGCCGACGAAATCTGAACTTCATCATCTTCGAAGAGGGTAATGGGGAGCAAGCTCGACCGGGTGGGACGGAGGGGAAAACGCGGAGCAAGAAAGCCCGGAGTTATCAGCGGCAGGAGAGGCGCAGCGGACTATGCTAAGCTAGCTAACGGACGAGCCCATGCAGGCTTTAAACGCGGGGCTACAGCTGTAGCTGCTGCTGAGACAACTCTTCTCTACCCTCCTCTCCTCTCCTCTCGGGGCTGTTTAGGTCGCTGAGGGTTTGACCACAACCCCCTCCCTATCCCGGTTCACACGAAACTCGTCATTCTTAACCAATGACGGCAAAGAAATTTGCAAGAAACCACTCAGAAACACCCACGCGCCCGAGAAATTCGGAGAGGAGTGCTCGTTCTGTAACACGGAGCACACCGACTCAGCGGCGCCGCTACAAAACGTGTGTTGGCGGCAGTAAAAGGTACGTTGATAACAAAACTAAGCAAACCCCGGATAAGTAGCCAATGAGGGTTTAAAATCAAAACAACCCAACACACTGCAATAATCCTATGAACTGAGACTGCTCCACTTAAAAAAGTCACAAACAAATTTATCAAAATTATATTATCGAAAAATCTTTCTCCTAGTCAGACTAATATTCTTAAAAGTTTAAAATTTTAGGAGATTATTCAAACGATGAAAGACATATTTTTCATATTTCTCGTAAGGTTAACTTTTTACAATAAACCTCATTTGGAATTTAAGGTTCTGAATGAGGTTTATTTAACTAAGTTTCCACTTGTTCATTAGATAACTAATGAACAAGTTGAAGTTTAAAGCAGTTATCTGAGTATTTTATGACAATTTGGCACTTTTATTTTGAATAAATAAGATAATTTTCAGATTATTTAATCATCATGGGTAGATTTTCATATCCAGATTTATTTTACAACAAAACCAAATTTTACACGTTGAAAAAACAAGCTAAATTTAGTTGCAAATTTTTTGAAGGTGAAGATTGAGTCAGCAAGCAAATTATTTTCACCGTTTGAAAGAACCGTCACTATTCAAAACGTTTTATTTTCACTACCACACACAATGTATTCTTCACAGTTCTGTCTGTTCAATTTGTGTTGTGTTTCATTGTTCAGACATAATGGCAACGTGCCTTTAAATGTCTAATAACTCTTGTGTTAAAAAAAAAAACTGAAGCATTCCAGTAAGTAAAGGATTTAAATCCTCTTTTTAACTATAAATGTAAGCCTATGTAAACTGAATCATTGTGCGGTTATAATTAAACATTTATAAATACATAAAAAATGTTGGAGATCATTTTCCTTTCACTTCATTTTAAAGTAACTTATGACTGCCTGCATAAAACACATTGAGGTTTAAGTTCAAGAGGTAAGGAGACTTTTTAAAGGCAGCATAAAAATATAATTCGAACACACAGAGATTATACTACAAACTTTAATGTCCAGCATTAGTTAAATACATTAATTGTAGACATTTTTATAAAATATTCATTGTACTAATAGAAATGTATTCAGTGCAAACTGCTCATTAATGTGGCTCCAAACTTTATTCACCAAAATCTGGCCCTATTTAGTGCTATCTGATTAGTTATTTGCCTTTGTTTACATGGAAAAGCGGAGAAAAAGAATTTAGTTGGTTGCATTCTCCAGCTTCTATCTGCACATAAACAAGGAGAACACCTCATCTCTGATATATGAGACTGAATCTGAACGCATATTCAAACCTAATGAAAGACAGTGCATCACGTGAAACCATGATCGTTTGCTAATCCGTCAAGCAAGGAAAGGTGAAACATGTAGGTTATTTAATTTGCATATCTGTTTTAGTAGAACGGTAAACTGCCAGGAAAACACTTTGTACGCCTACAGGAGGAACTTCTTCCTTTTGCTGAGTGCAAACTCACGTCTAATTTCAATAAGTGCACATTTCATCTTAGCTAAAATAAAATGGGAGTATAAAAATATCAAAATATTCAAACATTTTAGAGGTAGATACAGGTGCCCTCATGGGGCACTAAAGAAGCACTTTCGTGTCCATCCGTGGTGATTTCTGTGCTACAGCAGGGTGATTTCACTTGGTGGCAAGGTGAGTCTCTTCTCTCTGAATGACAGCATGTTCTCCATGTGCATGGCAATGACACGGCACAGCTCCAGGCCCTGGGAAACACGCAAACACAGATTATTACGGACCTTATGAACCCGTTAAAGTGAAAGCAGATTTGTAATCTTTGCGTACTGGTCACTGCTGCATCTTTCATGAGGACATTTACACACACCTGCTCCAGCTGCAGCTGCGTGATTCGCTGGTTGAGCAGGTCTCCGATCATGATCTCCACGTACGGGTAACTGGAGCCTGAAGTTGGTCTCTGGGTGCGGGTCGACTGCACCTCCTTCAGCGGGAAACGTACCATGGCGTCCTAATCGCACACACAAACATGCTCACAAGCAAATACAAACACTTCTCAACTGGTTTTTGTTTCTTTTTGCATGGGGTTTAGTGTCTCCAGATGGTGCACATAAAGCTCAGCAAGTGCCAGGAGTTGAAATGGAAACAGTGTTTAGGGAAACAGCGTTCCCTCTGTCACATTCCTCGGATGTTTTGGTTCGGTTTTTGTTTTTGTTCATTTCTTTGTGGGTTATTTGTGTTTTACCGGTCTTGCCATATTTCATTCCATTCTCCGTATTTATTGTTGTTAAGGTGATGCCATATTAGTTTATTCCTTAATCTGTGTTTCCAAAGCTTTTCTTTGTTTTCCATGTATTTTTCTTAGGTTATCGTCAGGCTGTTTCTCATGTTCCTTAATTGAATCAGTTCAGCTCATTCTGTATTGATTAGTCGCCATCCCTCAGTCTGCCTGCTTTGCCTTCCCTCACAGCTGCACCCTGTTATGTTGCCTGTCAGTTTATTCTGTTTTCATGCACATCAGTCCATACTCCATGTCCACTTTTGTTCATGGTCTGATTAAAGGTTTACATAGAATCATCAGCATGAACATCATATTCATTTTGAGCTTTCAATTTTAGGGTTGATAGCTAAAAAAAAAAAAAAAAATTCTGGGAAGACGGATTGTAAAATGAACTGTTTTAATAATTTACAAGAACTGGGTTTTAAATTTAGCAAGAAGCAAAAAAAAAACAAAAAAAACAAAAGCATTTTGTAGCTATAAAAAAGTTTCTGCTACAAGTCCAGCTGACATTTTTAAATGTAAAACACAATCATAACAATGATAATAATGCACAAGAGCCCTTACGCTTAGCGGCAAATATTTGTCTCGTTGACTTGTCAGATATTAATTAACAAATCAGGTCACATGGTATTTTAAAACTAGGAATAGATTTCCCTGACCTACTTTATTTAAACATCTGGCACCATCTGGACTCCATACAAAATAAACACAAGCAAACAAGTACACAACTTCACCAGAAAAGGGGGATATTTGGCTCGTTTTCACATAACTTGGTAAAAAAAAAAATGTATTAACTCCTTAAAAGCTCTAGTAAATAAGCAGTCATCACATCGCCACACTCACCCAGTTTTGTAATGTAAAGAATGAATCGACTGATTTTGTGGATGTCTGACTGACATTGTAGATGTGCTAGCCTTTTACTCACGTGGGTGTCCTTGTTAAGAAAGTGCAGTCCGTTCAGGTTCACAGCCAGGATGCAGGGCGCCTGGATAGACGAGGAGCTCAAACTCTGTATGTAGAAGAAAGAGGAGCCAAACATGGGGAAGGCACTGACCAGACCTGAAGAGAAACACACAAACAGACAACCAGTCACACACACAAAAAAAATAATATTAATTATCTTATTAAAAAAATCAATCTGTTGCACATTTCAACTACTCAATTAGTTTCTGATCTAAGAAGAAATAGTCAACAATATAAGAACCAATCTACGTACAGCTGTCTCTTAGGCATTCATTTTAATGTTAAAGGCGTTGGACACACTGACAAAGTCTTACCGAGGAACTGTGCGCGGGCCTGGTGCGGGTTCAAAGGCTGGGCGTACTGCATGTGCTGCGTTACCATGTTCAGCCATTGTTGGGAGCCCTGTTTGCTGTAGAACTGTGAGGGGACACATTCCTGCACCTCGCGGCTAGATGCACACAAAAACATCCAGTGGGTTTTATTAGATTACATGTTCTACTGTGTCTGGATATGTGAAGACAACATAGGGACAAGAGGATTCTGTGATTATTTTTATTCTTTAGTTTATCTAGAAGAAAATGATTCATGCTTGAAAACAAAACCAGGAGAATATTTACAGCGTGGGCAGGTAGATGGCATCCTTGGCACGATGCTGCAGGGCGCCCAGCCTGGCAATTTGCTGCATATGCTGGTCACTGGGCTTACCTTGAGGAACTACACCCAGCAAAGCCTTCAGGTAGTCTGGTAAAACCTGGAGAAACGACAGAACTGGGTGGAAGGCAGTCTCGAAATATTATCTACTGTCAATATTAATAACTGGTGTTTGATGTTTCTCAGGTAAGGAGCTGTATCTCCCAGGCATCAGTAACTGCTGCGTGCATGCACAGTTTCCAGTAAAATGCAGATGCCCCCTTTTGTGAGCACTTGTAGTAGATTCTGCTTCGTTCTGACTCCACCCTGGTTCAGTCGTTACTTTGTATGAGCCTGCTGAAGGCAGGGAGAAAGGCCAGCTCTGCTTTTATAGGTACGGCAGAGCGGAGCAAGCAAATGAAGCGGTTGCTAGATAGTTTCTAACTTTTCTTTCAGTCCAGCAGACATTTATGTTTGGTGTTTTATTCATTCGTAGTTGTTTAAACAGAAACTGGGTGAGACAAATAGATAGAATGGGGCCTTGTCTGAGCCAGAAAGCGAAGATTTACCGGTTTGTCTACATTCCCACCCCCCCAACTAATGGTCATGAGACATAAATCCTGACCAAAAAAAGTCCCTGAAAACAAGAGGCAGAAACAAGTTTCCTCCATTGTCCTTCCCCTAAAGGAAGACTGCTGCTTCTCCAGCTATTCAAACCGGTTTGGATATCTATTCATCCCTTCTAAAACACCTCGAGATCCCGCAGAGTGAGCTGGAGAGGATTCCTCTGGAGAGATAACTTCTCTGGGTAACTTATGACCAGATGGCTGGAGGGATGTTGCTCAGCTCAAACGACAGCACTGTACCTGGTTGTAGTGCATGGTGACGTAAAGCTCATTGTCAAGTTTGAGAGCCAGACTCCATACGACCCGTCTAAACCACAGGCTGTAGTTGGCGTCCACCGGCTCGGCCTCTGTGGCGATGTCCAGGATGTACTCGCGCTTGTTCAGGGGACGCACATTCTGACCTGTGCGAGAGAGAGCAGCACCGTTATCCGATCTCATGTCGCTA